TCTTTGAGAAAAATTCAGAATCGAGAATTACGAGATTCAACCGACAATATACTTTTCAATGTAGATTATCACCAAGGCATTCAGAAAGGTCCAAATCCGAATGGATCACCGAAGGGTCCACCACCGAAGGGACCGCCACCGAAGGGTCCACCACCGAAGGGACCACCACCGAAGGGACCACCACCGAAGGGTCCAAATCCTCCACCGAAGGGTCCATATCCAAATGGGTCCATGCCCCCTGGACCGCCGCCAATCACAGGACCTGGACCGCCGCCAATCGGCGGACCTAGACCACCGCCAATCGCAGGACCTGGTCCTCCAAGTGGCAACTGGCGACGAAATCGCTGCAGCTGTATTTTTTCATCTAAAATAAAATTTGGGTAATTTTTTTTCTGAATTGAAACATATGTTCAAGCTCAAACATAACCATTATTACCGAACGCTGTGCAAAATTGGCAATTTGGTATTTGCCTACTACCAAAAGTGAGATCACGTGGTATTCAAATGAATTTCGAGTTAACCGAAATGTTATATAACTCCACTACCTGAAATGTACCCAAAATTCTACGTTCAACATACGTGCCAGACTTCATACGTCAAATGCAGATCTCTCGATCATAATGGCTACCCAACCTTTCTGATATTTTGTTAAATGGACTTCAAATGGATGGGCATAGATTTCACTAACGATTTCATTCGAGAAGAACGAAATCTACTATATTTTGGTCGATACACAGCGGGTTTTGAAGGATGTCTCCGTAGCACCCTCGATCAACACAGGAAATGATCACCGCATGCTGCGGGCAAGAGTACACGTAATTTCGGCTGTCGGACGAAGGGCATTGTATGTGTCGCACCGATGTAAAAAGCCCATGGAGATCGACAAGCAGAAATGGAGCGGCAAGTCGGTACTACCGACCGGACTCTGACAGCGAGCATTTCACACGATTACCAAAACTTCACTGAGAAGCTCCTTCGGTGCTCGAAAAGAGCCGAACATGTTCAGCCTCGAAGACTCGAGGTGACAGAAGAACTGCTAGAGAAGAGAAGAACCATGAAGCGCGAGAAATCAGGGATGTGGAGTACAATCTTCTCTGCAACTCAATTCGTAAGAAGCTGAGGGAGGATCTGGAAGGCTAATAACTGCGATCCAAAGAAGACAAAGCCTGAAGAAATGCAGAAGGCAATTACTGTTATACAGTCAAACAGCAGCGGTGTTGAAAAATGAGGATGGACGTCGAATCACGACCGAACAAATATGGAAGAACCAGCAAAAAATTTTACACGAAACTGTTCGCACCACGTGTTGACGTTCCAACACCGCCAAGAAACAAGTTCTTCCGGCTGTTGATCAGTGAAGCAAGAGAAGCAGTCTTCCAGATGAGAAGGGGTAAGGCTCTGGTAACGACGGTATTAGCATTG